ACATTAACAGCTACGCCCTCTCCACAGCCCTCAACATTTATAGATCGAGTTCTCTCTATTCTTTCCTAATATCTCTCCCCTACCCTACCCAAACCATTCCTTCCCCACCACCATCAACAGCATCCACACTCCTTACACAAATTCCTCTACCCAACCTACTCACCATGAGAATAAATACCTCTAAAACCATAGTCATTGAGTTTCAACTCTCTAATGACCCTTAATCTCCACTACAATCGCACTCCAGCCCTAACCCTAACCCTCCCCTAACCCTAATCTGACTTTCCCTCTCCACACTTTACATAACTGCCGCATCCCCGCCCTCACACCATCATTTTAACATGAACAATATATACGTCACGGCCCGAAAAAAAGAAGATCCACCTCAAGTTTGGGATTTCTCTCATCTTTTAAATAAATACCTAACCCTAACCCCGAACCCTAACCCCGAACCCTAACCCCGAACCCCATAGTTTGACCAGACTCGACACACAGAAGTTCGCTAAATCTGTTTTAAACGTTTTGGATTTCGGTATTCCAAGATATCCTTGGGAGGAAAAGATGTTTATTAAGGTTATTACGATGATACCGCAAAGAATGAACTCACACAGTATGCCGTCGCACCGACCTCCGCTGCACATCTGTCGATACTCCAACTGTACTGTCTTCGTGCTACTTTTCGGTACCCTCCTGATAATCTCATAGTGTGTGGTGGTGCTTCCAAGGTTTGTAGAAAATCGAGTATCAGGTAATAAATTGTGCTGATCTCACTTTCAGATAAACCATTGCAAAATGGTAAGCGTTCCAAGCAATAAACAGACAAACGATGTATACCTAACACATAAATCCAGTATCATGGGCTGATATCAATGCATATATAGTAAGTGTGTCGATCAGTGATTATTAGAAGAGAATCAAGATGTTCCTATCACGTGAGCAATAATTATGTGCAAAATAATTAGAACCCATCACTACTTTTGAACTCATAACAATGTTTATATACTAAGTGTGTGAATAGCTATAGATGAGTACCTGTATATAGTTGGATGTATACTAAAACTGTACAGCCTCGTGTTAATTATTTTCGAGGATCAATGTGTATCACGTGAATCCCTAATGAGAGCTGGTGAAGTTGGGTATATAGAGAAAGTGTTTAGTGGAAATTAAATAACAAATCAAACGAATGACGGTGCGTAAGTGAAACAAGCGTAATGAGGTGATTAAGGTGAGGTGAATGTTGATACCTGATGTACTTTTTTATAAATATTAAACAACCACAATCATAAACTATTGCTATTCAGGCTTATCGTAACCTGGAGTATGTTGTGTTTAAATATTACTGCTAACCATTCAAATATTCAAATGTATACCATATACAATTGTGATTTACGTCTCTATTTCAAAATATGAGTTTTGATAAATGTATGCAATCTTGGTGTAAATGATAACATACTGTCAGCACGTTTTGATTCATTCAATATATATGAATGCACATAACATGACAAAGAATGGCGACTTACTATTTCGTTAATAAGCAAGTTGTTTTTCGGATAATGTAATACGTATAGTAAATATTTGGGTCCCTATTAATTCGTGTTACCCTATGTCATGTATGTAGAACTTCATGGGTATCAAAATAGAAACAAATCCTGTCTCATTCCACTCATGATAACTGAGGTAACTGAGACCTTAGACACTGGCAAGACCAATATGTTGATACAAATTAACTATCTTTGGTGGTGATATAACGGGAAATAAACAGAATACTATACGGAAGTTTGAATTACAGTGTTATTTACATTTCTATGTTTTATTATACCGTTTAATCAATATTTAACAATGTTTTCATATACAATACCTTCAGAAATATTAAGAATATGATATTGTTAAAATACGCACGTATGTCTTTTTGTTCTAAACACTATATTCAACCCTATAATAAAACCATCGAGTGAATCAAGTAACATATAATATAAAGAAACAACATGCATACAATGTGGAACATTGAATCAACACTACTCTAATTCATATTGGAGAATAATATGCCCCAGTTTATAAATAGCACAGTTCTAAACCTACAATATTATACGAGTTCAATGCCTAAACTAACACAAAAATAATCACACTAAGTGACATCCCAGCAAAACGTTAAGGTAGTGTTCGTGCATAAATGTAATATGAAGTTATGTAATTAAAGTAAATAGTAGTTAGTAAAAGACATGAAACACTAATAAAAACCTTGCAATCAAATATGTTTACATTAATGAAATGATCTATGAAAACGCCTGACACGTATGCGATTGAACGGTTTTCGCTTCAGTGTGAATTATGGATTGATTCAATAGTTAACGCTGGAGAAGGGAACATCAATTGTATATTATCATTTTCAACTACACATGTTTCAAAAAGATCACATTTAATGCAACACTTTATCGCTTTTGAATTGTGTGTAACTGACTTTAGTATTATGTTATACATTTGTGAGAACTGTGTTACACTAACCTAGATTTTGTTAAATATTGGATGACTAGGTATTTCACAATTAGAAATCACTGAATTCACAATAGTTAATACTTACAATGTAGGTTTGACAGGCTATAGAACTATATTTCAATATGTGAAATGATTGTTTTTCTTAGACGAGAGACCGACTCGTCGGTTTAAGTAACATTGCGGTGCGTCTGAAATGACCCATTATTTATTATATATACATTGCTCGGTTAACAATGTTTCAGCGTCAGAAATTAGAATATCCATTTCTGTTATGTATGTTCGTCATCAAAGATAAAACTTCCCTAACGACCGTAACCATGCACTATGTTTCATATCTTAAACTCGTGTATGATATCCATTTACAATATAAACAAATTAACACAAAGAAATTACTCAATGTAATGTTTAAAAAAATGCACTATGTATTGATTTAATTATGATAATAATGGTGGTATAGTTTCAAATACAGTGGGCGATTTTTTTAAGTTTTTTTTCCCTTATATTTTTATGTTTTTTTTTTATTTTATTTAGGTTCAATTTTTTTTGGTGGTGGTTGTGGTAGTGATGGTGATGGTAAAGATGATGTCTGAATGATTATTTCAATATGAAAATTTGTTTTAGACAGGTTATATCGATAATATCGGTCTACAACATTACACGCGATTGTAGTAGATTCAATTGTGTTCGCTTCTCCGTCATTGTAACACATCCACATATCATGTGTCATTACAACGTGGAACTATGTTAAGAGAACAAATCCATTATTCACAGTGAAGTGTAAACTCCTTCAATCAACTCTTTGGAATTAGTATCATCTTTAACTTTCATTGGAATTGGTGGTTCAGTCATACTGACATCAGTATAATTGGTATCACGATACGTTGTGGACCGTGGTCGTGGCGACCACTCTTCACAACATGGTAATTTCGCTGCTATCCAATTCAAAGCGGGTATACGTCTACAATGCAAGAAAAACGTTAATAAATTAATAATGGCGACAGTTTTATGTCGTACATAGAATATTAATCAAACGTCAAGTGCCTCACGTCAAAAGACAACATGCTCAAAATATATAATATATGGACAAAAATAATATACAATGGTTAATATGTATGTTCTTATAGCGAATTTTGACAGGCGTTTGTTAGGTACCACATGAAACAAGACTTTTGTAATCATTTAATCTTTTCTTTGAAAGTTTATACCTTCGTGTTTTGTTATATTGGCTGTTATTTGTTTTCCTCCTAGAACCACGTGGACAACTCCGTCGTCGCCCAGCACAGGATGTGTTACTTTGACAACAATCACTACGCCATTGTCGACATCGCACAGTGCGCCGACTGACATGCAAAAAGGTGCAAGAAGACAGAATATAGTAATCCGAGCAAACTAAAGCATGCATTACAGTTGATATACTAACTATACTAACAATGCTGCTAGTACTACAGTATGTCAAGCAAAATATGGTTTGTACTAAGCATAACATTTCTAGTATTATAACTACGCCATGCATTATTCAGTTCGTAGTAAATATAAACTAGAACCATCGTTAAGATGTGCACAAGTACTACAAGTACGTTGTGTACAATGAGTTATTGATACACATCATTACATAGATTGAGGATGATTACCCAGTAATATTTAGCCTATTGCATGCATATAGCTATCTATGTGACACTAATTGGTACTGTCACTGTGATGGCCTTGTTTGCTTATGTCTGCATCACATAGTTTAGTGAACAATCTATGGCTTATTTGGTAATAACATCAATAGATGTGACTACATTATCTAAGCGCTGTATGTGCATGCATACTCCCAAGGTGCAGTTCGCCACATTTATAAATATGGTAGATGCACTGTGTTACATTCCATAATCAAAAGACATGAGTATATGTAGCACGTGATTTATACACTCACGAATTGCATCATGGGATACAATTATCAAGCATGCTCATCAGGTCAATAATCATGTTTTACCATGCAATATACCTTTTGTTTGGCTATTGCTGGAACGTTTATAACGTTGTCTCTAGTGTGTACTTTAGGGGACCGAGATGTTCGGAGGCAGGGAAAACACATTCCACAAACTCTTCTAAGACATCACAATAAAAGGCAATATATGAATTGATGTACGTTATTGCAAAGCTACAACTTATTTGCTAGCAACATATTAATGAAGCGAACTGCATTAAGGGAGTAATATGTGTGTTGTTGTAAAATGTCTGACCATCTTTACTACAATACAATTGTTAATTCAATTATAGCAAACTGTGAATGTTAAAAATCACTAAAAATAAATGATTATATAATTTGTATATAATAAAAATACATCCATGATATCACTTACCTCAACTCTTTGCAAATATTCGTACTGAATAGCCCATAAATAGCTGGATTAGTGGCGCTGTTCAATGATGGCAGATTTTGAACTATGATGTGAATTGTCATCGTCAAATCGTTTTTCGGTATGTGACCATATATTTCAAGTATGAACCACAATGTGAATGGACTCCAACACACAATAAATGCTGTTGATTAGAAACCCAGGTTAGATTATGTCAGTTATGTATGCATATTATTATAAACCTTCGTAGTGCTTTTAATCATATCTCAAATTCGAAAGCCACATAATATTCAATTATCAGTAATAAACATAATTTACCAATATTCTACAGTAATTTACACGGACACGGCAAGTAAACTAAAAGTGTAATTTGTAGTGAACACTGTGTTGTGTTGAATGCCATGGAGTTCAAAACTGGGAGAATATAAACAGAGATATTAACCTCGCCAAACAGTCAGTAATTGTATTCAGTCACACTGGTTGATCAACATATCAGTAAAGCGGAAGTTAAAATAATTGTCAATATTACATTTAGATATATCAATATCTATTTTCCATCATTGTTATATAATCAAATCAGCAAAGGCGATATACAGGAACTTTGCATTTGGTCATGCACAGATCTTTGATTGAAAGTGAAGCTGCAAAAAGGAGGACTTTGATGACTGAGCAATATGCAGATCGGCAGCAGTGTTGGCGAGACAAAGACTCGGACATCAAGAGCACTACGGTGTTAGATTTGTATGACGATTGTGAAGGCAAATACTGGTCTCACCAATTTAAACGATTGATTTCTTGGAGAGCGTGCATGAAAATCAACATCACTGCTGCTGCTGATGCGACAACATGGTCTATTCTAGTGACGCGACCAAATGCTCTGTGGTGGCGAAATTGCTGGTGTTGCGGCGTCGGATATTTGTAGTTATAACGAAGATTTTTCGGACCTGTTTTAATGTGTATTAACACTTTGTATCATTGATTTAGCACCAAACTAGTGCGCATCTTAGTGATCATATGTATCTTTGAGCTTACGAGCTCTGATGCTATGTTATCGAGATATTTGTTAGTATGTGTCTTTGTGCTGTTATCTAAGACATATTACACTGAACAACATGTTCGTCCATTCAAACTTACAGTTGTTTTGAACTATAATGAAATTACCGGCATTGTCATCGAAATTCGTTGCGTAAGCCGTTTGTATCAATCAGGTCAAAAGATGATGGATTTTCGAAAACCAGTATAATTGTCGACACAACCCTGCATAAAACATGTTTCTAATCATTCGAGAGTTGAATGACTGATTTCGTGAATAAGGGTCGCATGTAACAATATTTGTGTCCTTCGTCCCTTTCCATTACGTTTACGAGTTACACACTTATAACTATTTGTTAAGAATAAACTGTATAGTGACTCCGCATTTAGCTCCTTGTTTGTTTTTTCTGGAATTGTTCTTTTTCTAATGAACATAAGTGGCGGTATATCAGGAGTTGGTTTGTGATGCGGATATGAGGTGTTAATGTAATTAATGTTTTTCATCTTTCGGGATGACATCATGTGCAAACTGTCTGTAAGCAGACTGTAGTGTTTTGAAGAGTGAGTTTGGGGAACGATATGAATTATGGCTATAACATTTACAAGTACTTTTGAGATAAAAGAGAGATTGTAAACAGGTCTGTAATACTTGAGAATATCAGAATCAAGCGCAGATTTCTTCAGAAGAGGTTTCACAATAGCTATTGATATTTGACATGGTGATGAGTGGCAGGTCAATGTCAGAAGTATCAGCATCCAGGTTGTCAATTTATCTTTGAAATGGTTTTAGTAAAGCCGATTAACAGTGGAATGAGTTGGCAGTGGTTAATTATTATTACGAATGAGACTGGATAAAACTTAAAAAGAGCCTTCTGATCATAGATTTCTCTTCGTTAATCTTGGTGTAGTATTAAGTTTTGGCATCACGAATGAGATTGTAGACAATTTTCTAAAGAGATCTACATATTTGTTTAGCTGCAATTTTAGGAGTAAACCAATTAGTATATGGATGAATAGTAATAAAACGTTTTTTTGTGTGTGTGGTGCATGTTTATCGAGTAGCTCTGAGAGACATGATTTACAACGTGAAACTGCTGAAATGTAGAGACTGTTCAAGGTTAATGACCAAACAACGTGAGTCTGTATACGTGAGGTAAAGAATGTAACCACGGGTGTGCGTGGGTTCATTCACCCATTGTGTAAGTTGGCAATAGTGAACTAAGTCTCGAAATATGTGTATGTTGGAAACTGAAGAATCAGTTGCCTAATGAAAGTTAAACAGTTATAACAAAATGACTATTGTAAGCTGACAATTCAGTAGAATACCAAATTCGACCATAAATTGAGAGACAGTGTATTTATTCCTTGCATTTGGTAATATATAATAATGACTTTTAGTGAGATACCATAGTAACGAAGTTCAATCGCGACAGCCTCGAATGAGACGACATTTATTAACGGCTTCCAGTTGCTAACAACTACGCTAGGTTTATATATAAAGGCTATACCGCTGCCTGCTGATTTTTCACGTGGAAAGTGACCGTAGGAGTAACCGGGTGGTGTAACTTCTTCAATGACTGGTTCATCGCCAGTATCTTTTAACCAGGATTCAGTATTTGCTATTGCATTACTGTTGCGTTCAGTGATATATTCAGAAAAGACAAAAATTTTGTTGTGGGGAGATTGTGCATTCCAACTGCAGATTTGTTATAGTTGATTCCTCGTTATAAAATGTTCTTGAACGTGGCTGTTTTTTCTGTTATTTTTAGTACATGCTATCGAGGCAGATGTTTTTAATTGACGTACGCCTCTGCGGGTTGGATGTTTAGACTGAATTCCCAATGATGTAATGGCATGCCATATAGCGGAAGAACATTTGAGTATGAAGGTGTCCCTTTTTAGAAGAGTAAGGAGAGAATGCAAGTTTGATAAATATCTGCATTTGAAGTGTACAAATTGCAGGTGTTTCACTATTTGCATAAGAATGAAGTAATTGCCAAGTCTACTGTTCATGTGAAGCTGTATACTTGCAGTGCAACCAGGTGAGTTGAAATTGAAAATGGAAAACCTGCAGCATTGTGAATAAACGTCCCTCTGATATCAGTTCAGTGCAAGTCCAGGTAATTCAAGTGTTTGACTATTAATCAGTGAATGTCAATAAACTCGAAAAAACAAAGAGCAATTGTGAGAGTGGCAGCCTGTTAGGCGCACACATGTGGACAAAACTGTGTATACTGTGTAGTATAACATGGAGTTTTTATACACTGCTAGCAAATAATGGTGGATGTGTAAAAACTTGAATGGTTTGATTGTACTGTATGTATGTACTGTGTAATGTTTTTGTAACCTTTTTGTTACTTATTATATAATTGCAGTGTTAAATCACTTGAACGATATATACATATCAGTTTACGTCTAAGTTATGATACATATAGAAATTTCCCTAGCCAAGTAAATGCTATATGTAATCAATTGTATCCAGAGCAGTGCAGTTTTGTGTCTTGGTATCGCGACATTTTTTGTTTCTCATTATATACTGAACATCCGTTGATTTTGTAGTTTTCGGTAGCATACTAATTATTATCGTTTGTGGAATTTCATTAAAATTTTATTTAACAATA